GGAGGGAGCGGAGGGAGGGAGAGGAGGGATGGAGAGGAGGGAGGGAGACGAGGGAGGGAGCGGAGGGAGGGAGAGGAGGAGAGAGAGAGGAGGAGAGAGAGAGGAGGAGAGAGAGAGGAGGAGAGAGAGAGGAGGAGAGAGAGAGGAGGAGAGAGAGAGGAGGAGAGAGAGAGGAGGGAGGGAGGGGAGGGAAGGAGAGGAGGGAGGAAGAGGAGGGAGGGAGCGGAGGGAGGGAGAGGAGGGATGGAGAGGAGGGAGGGAGACGAGGGAGGGAGCGGAGGGAGGGAGAGGAGGGAGGGAGACGAGGGAGGGAGCGGAGGGAGGGAGAGGAGGGAGGGAGAAGAGGGAGGGAGACGAGGGAGGGAGCGGAGGGAGGGAGAGGAGGAGAGAGAGAGGAGGAGAGAGAGAGGAGGAGAGAGAGAGGAGGAGAGAGAGAGGAGGAGAGAGAGAGAGGAGGAGAGAGAGAGGAGGAGAGAGAGAGGAGGAGAGAGAGAGAGGAGGGAGGGAGGGGAGGGAAGGAGAGGAGGGAGGAAGAGGAGGGAGGGAGCGGAGGGAGGGAGAGGAGGGATGGAGAGGAGGGAGGGAGACGAGGGAGGGAGCGGAGGGAGGGAGAGGAGGAGAGAGAGAGGAGGAGAGAGAGAGGAGGAGAGAGAGAGGAGGAGAGAGAGAGGAGGAGAGAGAGAGGAGGAGAGAGAGAGGAGGAGAGAGAGAGGAGGGAGGGAGGGGAGGGAAGGAGAGGAGGGAGGAAGAGGAGGGAGGGAGCGGAGGGAGGGAGAGGAGGGATGGAGAGGAGGGAGGGAGACGAGGGAGGGAGCGGAGGGAGGGAGAGGAGGGAGGGAGACGAGGGAGGGAGCGGAGGGAGGGAGAGGAGGGAGGGAGAAGAGGGAGGAAGAGGAGGGAGGGAGAGGCAGGAGGAAGCGTAGGAAGGGAGACTGGGGGAAGGGCCTTTCAGTTGAGTGAAAGAAGGAACTCTTTAGATAATATAGGATGTGATTACCAATACCGGTACATGTCCCAATTCCTGCACCCCTCGCCCCCCCTCACTATCCACCTCGCTTCCACTCTCCACGCACCTCGCTCCCACGAGCAGGTTGAAAACGGTGTAGATGAACGTTGATGCCACCACGGACCAACCGAGCACCACCCCAAAGTGCACCTTGGCATGCTGCCATGAGAGCAATGGCACAGAACAGAGAATGGGAAGCTAGGACGGGAAAGAGAGTGGAACCAGGATTCACAATTATGAATGAGAGAGTGCCACCACGGACCACCCGAACACCACCCCAAAGTGCACCTCGGTCTCTGCCAGACAAGTGGCAAGCCAGGTAAACGTGGTAGAGGCCGAAGAGCACACAGAAGATGAGCGGGCCGGACAGGTCTGACTTGCTGATACGTGCGGCTGAAGCTCCCAAATGTTGCTCTATTGTACCAACATGACCGACGCCCAGTACAAGTCGCACCATGAGCTGGCAGAGGCCGAAGAGCACGCAGAAGATGAGCGGACCAGACAGGTCTAACTTTAATGACGTATGTCTGGAGATCCCAGGTGATGCTTTAATGTACCAGGATATAACTCCGCTGCAAGACGCACCAGGACCAAACTTCGCCATGTGTCATGACATACCATGAGCTGGCAGAGCTGAAGAGCACGCAGAAGATGAGCGGGCCCGACAGGTCCCCATCGTGCTGCCCTGTATGGCTGAAGCCCCCAGACGCCACTCTATCGTACCACCATGACAGAACTTCACCACACATCGTATCACACCACACCACACCACACATCATACCATGAGCTGGCAGAGGCCGAAGAGCACACAGAAGATGAGCGGGCCGGACAGGTCCCCATCGTCGTAGAGATCAATGTTGATGCGGATGGGGTTCAGAGCCGACGCGGTCTTTCTGAGGATCTGAGGGATGTTGATTCCCAGCTCTGTAGGAAGAGGGAGGCGAAGGGGGCCAAGAAAAGGAGGCAAGAAGGGAGGATGAGAGGGAGGTGAAGGGAGAAAGGACACATGACATAAGGACCCACAGAGGAGCACACAGAAGATGAGCGGGCCGGACAGGTCCCCATCGTCATAGAGGTCAATGTTGATGCGGATGGGGTTCAGAGCAGATGCTGTCTTTCTCAGGATCTGAGGAATGTTGCTTCCCAGCTCTGTTGGGGACAAGGAGGTGAAGGGAGACGGCATATGACATGATCAAGACCCCATCGCATAATCATATAGAGTGTTGATCGGAATCAAGCTCTAGCTTCTAGCCGTACTGCTATATGCCTGTTATGCCCCGATGAGTGGAGTTAATGGTCATATCACCTTATAACGAGTTACCTTCCAGCAGAGGCAGCTCGTCTTCAAACGAGTTCGCCTGCCAGACCCGACGTGATGCTAAAGCCGGATGACCTTATAACGAGTTACCTTCCAACAGGGGCAGCTCGTCTTCAAACGAGTTCTGGCCGAATAGCCCGCCAGACCCGTCGTACTGCGACTGGCCTCCGAAGCGCGGGCCTGCCTGAGGGGGAGGCGCCAAGGCACCTGCGAGACACGGGAAACGAATAACGAAAAACGAGTTGTGACACAACGAATCGTGACAGCGACGGGCGTGGGCGCCAGAGCAACTGCGAGAAACGGGGTGCGAGAAACGAGGTGCGAGAAACGGGGTGCGAGAAACGAGGTGCGAGAAACGAGGTGCGAGAAACGAGAAGCGGAAAACGGATCGTGACAATCGTACTGTAACGAGCATGGGTAAGGGTAATGAGTGTAGTACCCCCAAAAGCTCCTAGGATTTCAGTCATTGGCTTACTGGTGATATTGCCGCCACAATTAGCACGACCCCTTTGTAAGCACAATCCGCTTATACACTCACTGGGCTTGCTCATATCGAAGGACATAAACGCCATGTTTCCGCCTGGTGGACCACCAACTGCCGGGCCAAAGCCCGAACCTGGACCCGAACCTAGGCCTGGCCCGAAGCCCGGGCCCGAACCTAGCCCCGGACCTGGACCCATTCCTGGCTGCGGCTGGAACTGCATGGGCTGCTGCTGATTGGCTCCTTGTGGCCGTCGATGCTGGGGAAAGGTCAGATTGGGGTTCGTATCGAACGACAGAGAGACGTCGTCTTGAGGACCCATCGTGAAAGACGATGAATGTTTCGAGAGGTGACAGGAGATTGGCAAGGATCGAGATTCGCGTGTGATTCCTCTTTCTTGGCGTAGATCTGCTGAAGGGAAGGGTTGAAACGACTGCGCTGCGAGACTGAACGGATTTGGTTTACGGAATAGTCAAGGCAGCTTCAAGCCTCGTTTGGTGGTTCAAGCTCCCACTGACACTCCGTTGAGACAGAGCAAAATGTCGAGGGTAATCAGAGTAACATTCAAAGATTGAAACCGTACCCAACCCTTTAGTTATGCAAAACACCGCTCTACAAAACAATCAACCATAATGGAGTGAACCGCGAGCAACGGTCAACCGGTGGCAGATTCTGTGCTACCAAATCTGAATTGGTGGCGAGATGATCGAGGATGATGATACCTACTGAATGGACTCATTGAAGTGTATCTTGTACACCTGATGCTCGTTTGGATTATCCAAGGTTTCCTTGTAGAGAGAGCGCTTAATCGATTGTTGTATTTCGCAATGGTTTCGTCAAATCGCTGCTAGCAAAAAAAGATTCGTCAGCGCTTATAAAACAATTGTAACTTAACCGTTGACATTTTGACTTCGATCCTCTTCAGTTTGAAGTTGGTTTCTTCGTTACTATTGGTTCAGAATCACTGCAACTTGCGCGGGGTGCTTGTAACGTGGGTGCAACTGGCTGATCCAAAAAACACGGGTGCAGACTTTCCATCCGCTACACGGCAAATTTGCGTGCAGGGGTTGAGCATCATGTGTATACGTAAAACAGAACCGATACACCTGATACAGAGAACGGAATTGACACACTTGATACAGAGAACAGAATTGACAAACCTGATACAGAGTATCAGCTGTTTCTACAGCGAAAGTTTCGGTAGTCTTTATCAGGGAAAATATGTCACAAGTAACCAGCATGGGACTCGATAACGTGAATGTTAAAAAGGTAACACGTACGGTCATTTTATCGCGTTTGCTGACGGGTTTGGTAAGTGGGGTCACGGATTCAGTCACTAACAACACGTGAAAAATCACATAAATGGTCACACATATAACTCCCGCCACATTTTATTGAAACTCTACAAAATTCCCGCTCGCACACAACCAATCAGCTAATTTATAAAAATACTAAAACCCAATCGGAATCGGATGCGGTTTGGGAACGGATCAACCCTAAACACCTGGCGAGTTGTGATTAGGGTTGATTCATCCGAAAATGCATCCAGGTTCGTTTTGGGTATTGTATTTTTTGGGCGGGAGTTTCATCTGTGACCATTCGCGTTATTTTTTCCCAGTTGATTGTGACTGATTTCGTGAAAAGTTTTATCAAGCATGTGGAAACACCCTTTGCAGTGACCGTACCCGTTTTTGTTTTACCAATTATATTATCGAGACCCTTTTTTATTACGAGTGGCATATTTTCCCGTCTGTATCATGCAATTTCGGCGAAGCCGTTTCTGGCTCGTGGAACCGTCAAGAAGCATGCGTCGTCGTTGGACGACAAGCATTCTCGTCGCAGAAAGTTAGCCCTCCCTCTGATTGGCGTAAATTCGGCGCCTTTACCCGATTTACCTGGAAACCGTCCAGTCTTCTCGTGAAATCGTCAAAACGTCATCCTCCAAACCGGAGCGCGACAGCCTGCATGTCTGCTGCCTAGAAATTGCGCATGGCAAGTCCCCAGGGCTTCTAGGAGCTTCTATTGCACTCCTAGTATTTCCCACAGCGATGCGATATTTTCTGGAGATGGCTGAAGCTTATAAAATGTTACCCGGCTTCGAGATTATCAGGGATTTGAAGAAGTGCTCGATTACCCCAGCTTTTATTGTCTCGCTGATAGGGAATTCTTTGCAAGTACCCTGATAAATTTAGACCATGGCATCGAAAACCATTCTTATCACCGCGGCTAGTGGATCGATTGGCAAGGCGACGATTCAGGTATGAATAGCATTTTCCGCGCCGCTATACCATGAACGAAGTCTGTATTAATCTAATCACTCTGTCTGAATTTTTAACTTCCACATTCTTCTCCATTGCCTCCTGTTTTCTTTCGTTGCTTCTGTGTTTCTAATCTTAATCTCTTGTCGTTCCAGGCGCTCGGCAAGTCACCCGACAACTTCACCGTGAAAGCAGGCGTGCGCGACCCCTCTAAATCCGCTGACCTGGCCGCACTCGCTCCCAACGTGTCTCCGGTCGCTGCGGACCCGCTGAAAGTGGCGGAAATCGCGGCAGCGCTTCAGGGAGTGGACTACGTGTTCGTGATTGCTCCTGGTCACGCCGACCGTCAGAAGATTTCTATTGCCGCCATTGACGCTGCTAAGGCTGCAGGCGTGAAGGTGAGTTGGTAGTGTTGATTGTGTTACTGCTATTCCGTTCGTCTCTTGCTGTTGTAATTTAATGTTACTGCCTTATTCTTTGCTCAACGCCCCCCTCCCCTCCACCCCCCCCCCCCTCAACTTTCCCTCCCCCCCTCACCTCACCTCCCCCCCCCCCCCCCCCCCGCCCCCCCCCTCAACTTTCCCTCCCCCCCTCACCTCACCTCCCCCCCCCCCGCCCTCCCCCTCAGTTCATCCTTGTCCTCTCAGTCTCCACTGCTGAACTTTCTGACACGATTTTCGGCGGGCAGTTTTCGCCTGTAGAAGCACACGCAAAGGCGTCCGGTGTGCCGTTCACTATAATTCGTCTGCCGCTGTTCATGGAAAATAACTACGGATTTGCTGACAGCATCAAGGATGCGAGCGCCATCTATTCGTCGTACGAGCCTGACAAGCCGTTCACTGCAGTTTCTGTGGACGGTATGTGGTATGTGGTCTCAGTGCATGCGGTATGTGGCCTCAGTGCATGCGGTATGTGGTCTCAGTGCATGCGGTATGTGGCCTCAGTGCATGCGGTATGTGGCCTCAGTGCATGCGGTATGTGGCCTCAGTGCATGCGGTATGTGGCCTCAGTGCATGCGGTATGTGGCCTCAGTGCATGCGGTATGTGGCCTCAGTGCATGCGGTATGTGGCCTCAGTGCATGCGGCATGTGGCCTCAGTGCATGCGGTATGTGGCCTCAGTGCATGCGGTATGTGGCCTCAGTGCATGCGGTATGTGGCCTCAGTGCATGCGGTATGTGGCCTCAGTGCATGCGGTATGTGGCCTCAGTGCATGCGGTATGTGGCCTCAGTGCATGCGGTATGTGGCCTCAGTGCATGCGGTATGTGGCCTCAGTGCATGCGGTATGTGGCCTCAGTGCATGCGGTATGTGGCCTCAGTGCATGCGGTATGTGGCCTCAGTGCATGCGGTATGTGGCCTCAGTGCATGCGGTATGTGGCCTCAGTGCATGCGGTATGTGGCCTCAGTGCATGCGGTATGTGGCCTCAGTGCATGCGGTATGTGGCCTCAGTGCATGCGGTATGTGGCCTCGGTGCATGCGGTATGTGGCCTCAGTGCATGCGGTATGTGGCCTCAGTGCATGCGGTATGTGGCCTCAGTGCATGCGGTATGTGGCCTCAGTGCATGCGGTATGTGGCCTCAGTGCATGCGGTATGTGGCCTCAGTGCATGCGGTATGTGGCCTCAGTGCATGCGGTATGTGGCCTCAGTGCTTGCAGTACGTGTTCTTAGAGCATGCACTGTGGTGTATCAATGTGCATCAAGGTGTATCAGGGTGCAATAAGGTGTATCATTACTGTGTTACGATATTTGCTTTCTGCACTCCACCCATCCCATACATTCTTTCATGCAGATGTGGGAGAAGCTGCGGCGAACATCTTAGCTGATCCAGAGGCTCATAAGGGAAAGACGTACAACCTGACTGGACCATCTGCAACAGCCACTGATATTGCACAGGCGTTTTCCAGTGCTCTCGGCAAATCAATCTCATACAACTTTGTAAGTCCCTCCGCGTGGCAGCAAAGATTCAGTGCTGATTCTGCAGCCCTGTTAGCCAATTTTCTGAGCTCTTTAACACTATTGGTGATATTTCCCTCCTTGCTGCAGGTTCCGTACGAGGCGAGCAAGGATTGGTTGACTCACAGTGGTTTTCCGGAGTGGCAAGCTGATGGGGTGATTGAGCTCTTTAAATCCATCAATGCAGGGGCTTTAGTAACTAATGATCCTGCTAACGGGAAGACTCTCGAGAAGATTCTGGGACGTCCCCCAATTTCTGTGAAGGCTTGGGTAGATGCACATGCTGCAGCTTTTAAGTAGAAGAACACATATGTGGTGCAGTTATAGCCAAAAGAAAATTTGTGGGATGGGTAAGTACCGTATATGATGCTGGCTACTAGTGAGCTTTATGGAGTTCGTCGTCCCTGCTACTGATCTTCAGATTCTTCTGTATCATTTGGCAGAATGGATAGATATTGGGTCGTTACTTGAGACTAGCAAGGTGCGGTTTTAAAAAGCAGGCATCTACTACTGGTACTATGTCCATATCAATGTACATTTGCTCCAAGATGCAATGGAGTTTGTGAGAAATTATAGGATGACTGTACAGTATATGCACGCAAGTCGAAAGGCAGCCGTATGACGCAAACAGAAAAGTGATTGGCGAAGCAAGGGAAAGTGATGTAGCATCTAAATTCGCAGCGAGCGAAACTAGCGAAGGTTACCGATCAGATCTTATATCCCCTGCGAAATGTCACGTTGGTTTTAAAGTCACAAGCAGAGATAGTTTTGCTGGCGGAAGAATCTCGCATAAATCGTGGATTTTCGCCTGCAATTCTGGCCTCGTTTATCGATTTCACTGGCCGTTGGAAGGCGTTGCCTGGCTTCGCCACTTCCTCTGAGGGCGTATCCCTGGGTGGTGGCAGGGCCACTGTAGATGGCAGGCGGTTTTTGCGGATGCCACGAATCCCTATAACAGCAGGTTGGTGGCACAAAATTGCCAAACATAAGCTGCAAGGCGATTGGTAGAACGAACGTATCGCATGGTTGGGTTGGGTCACACGGTCCAGCCACCACATCGCATATCCCTATCTCCCTCGCAAACTGGGCTCGCACACTCCACGTTCGAGCTCTCACATGCCGGTAAAATTCCCAGCCCACCAACTGCTGCCATTGGTCGGGACAGGACCGTGCATGACCCCTCCTTTCAGGGTCACCCAACTTCATTGCATCGGCATGGCGGAAAAGTAATCACCACCTCCTCCAGATCTAGATATGCTCTACGCATGTTGTGAACCTTCAGAAAACCCCACTCCACGCGACAGTGCAGTTCCAAAGGCAAGTTTAGAACCTCATCCTCATCATGCCCCCCCGTAAGCAGAGAGACCGTGGTAAGGGAAAGGCGAAGGTAGATGACGACGAGCCATGGGAGGACCCTCCCTACGTCAAGTGGATGAAGGAGCAGTGCGAGAACGGCAATACGCGTGGTAAAATAAAGCGGGAAGCAGCTCCTAGGCGGCACGGCGCCAGCCCGAGCTCAGCGCGTGGCGCCCACGCAGACAGCTCTGACGGCGGCGGTGACACCGACGTGAGCGATGACGATCTCGAGGAGATCGTCTCCTCCAGCGGATCCGAGGACGACTCCGATAACTCAAACGCGAAGGACAGTAGCGACGAGGAGGAGTCCGACGCGGATCCCGCAGCCTCGGAGGCTGGCCCAAGTACACGCAAGCGCAAACGTGACGCGAAATCGAAGCGCCTGTGGAGCGATGAGGAGCTTACTGCACTGGCCGCCGCTAAGTGGTACACCCGCGACGATCTGAAGCAAATGCGTGGGAAACAGGGCAATCAATATTGGAAGAAGCTCCGCGCACACATGAAAAAGAGCGGCGCAAAGTGGAAGCGCAACAGCACCGCCATGCAACACGCATGGAAGCGCATTGAGGCAGAGTACCGCGACACTCTCCGCCACAACGGCACGTCAGGGAACAAGCCCAAGCGGAAGAAACCCTGGTTCGAGTATGTTTACCTCATTAAGAAGCTCCCTGCCAACGTTAAGCCGCACGTGTTGGATGGTGGCGGAGCAGGAGAGACACACGCTGACCCTGTAGCACCTATACGCGATGACGCCGACATGGGCGAGGGTGGAATGGTGACGCCCAGGACCAATCTCCGTGATCGTCAAGTCCTGCGGGCCGGTGGCCTTGAAGGCAAGTGTGTCAGCTAGCAAATCCGTGCTACCCCTTTTAACTTTCTAACTTATCTTGCATGTGACAGCCACATTTTATGAAGCTTTTGATTATAACAATAACCTTGCATGACAAGAAACGCTGGCATTATGCATCCTACACCACCACTCCCCTGTGCAGGCACCCCTTCACCACTGCCCCCCAAGCGTCCCCGTGTCAACGAGACCGCCACCATGGCGGCAGCGAAAGTCATCGCTGATACAATCACAACATGCAATGGTCAGGCGTTGCGGCAGCTAAGCGACACGGTGCAACTCCTCGTGACAGCCATCCACATGGCTGCCACGCTGTGGAGGGCTCCACCTCCACAACCCCAGAATGTGGCGCCGCCACCGCACGCCAATGCGCACGCCCTCACGGACACGCCGGGCGACGAAGACTCGCCCGCCTTAGGCGGAGAGGCCGGCGACGTTCCCCAGGATGAGGACGATGAGGCGCGCGATGACAGGAAGTCAGACTAGTCGCACTCAAGGCGCCACGGGCGGTGCCTCTTCAGGTAAGCACGATGCATGTGCTTCCCAAACAGTTTCCTCCGCTTGCGCAGGTTGGACTGTCCAGAACTTTCTGCATCACACCATGCATAGGTCCTCATGCCACTCCGGTGGTACCACGGTGGGCTGGTGCCCATCCACACCGGCCACTGATGCTTGATTGTACGGTTCCTTGGCTCGTCGGTGCGCAGGATCATGTTGTGCAGGATGATGATGCACGCAGTCCCCGCACACACACGTGTCAACTTGCTCTCGTGTCGCCGGCCGAACAGACGCCACCTCCCCTTCAGCGCACCAATGGTCCGCTCCACAACCATGCAGGTGGCGGAATGGATGTAGTTATATGTTTGCTCCCAGCTCTTCATCAGGCGCCTGCGGGTTGCATTCACAGGAGTGAGGCAGTAGCTGCGCAGCGGGTAGGCAGCATCACCGACGATCTGGTACGGTCCGAGGTCACCACGCTCTAGGCGGGCGTGCAGTTCGGACTGCTGGAAGATGCCCTGATCATGCATAGATACCGGGTGCCCAACGGTGTAGTCCCAGACAATTCCCTTGCTGTCGCATGTAACCTGCAACTGGGTGGAATAGACGGACTTCCTGTTGTAATACTCTTGCCTGTGATTCTCCATCCCCCTTATCTCGATATGTGTCCCATCAATTGCTCCAACAACATTCGGCACCCGCCGTACTTCCTTGAAGTCGGATGCCATCTCCGCCATCTCCTCTGCAGTGGGAAAGCGCACCCAGGTCTTCTTGAACCTCCGGGGGAAGTGCACGAGGAAGGCCTCCACAATCCTGTGCACAATGGTCTTGGGCAGACCGAAGTAGAGGCCCAGGTCAATGAAGGTCATGGCGCTGGCAAAGTACTTGATAGGGATGAGGACACAAAGGTCGAGCGGGATCCCGAGCTTCTCAACGAAGTGGCTCATGGGGAGGGCCATGACAGGTGCGATGTACTCCAGCAGTTCAGGCGAGATGCGGAAGACGTTGACAAAGTCATCGTCCTCCATAATGCGGAGCTCAGTCACCCATTCCGCCATGCGTCGGGCGCGGCGCTCCTTCCGCTGACGTTGGAGGCGTTCGATCCTCCTGCGCTCTTCAGCGGCCGCCTCATCGTCCCTAGCCTGCGTAGCCCCTTGCATCGCGATCCACTGCAGGGCACCAATGGCCACTGCACGGTTGAAGCTCTCTAGATAGAACCCATATAATAGGTGCACAGCAATGCAGAGCAAGAGACCATCCAGGGAGGACATGAGGGACGGACTTAGCAGGTGAAGAAGACGCGCATCTGGACTGTGCTTTGACTGCCTTTGGACCCCTCATTGGTCGTCCTATAAAGACGAGTTGCAGCTGGTTGACCAGGCGCGAGGTGTTTTTACAGTTTGCCAGTTTCCCATTTGACTCAACCACTTCACGCTTGCCAATTTACAGGCCTTTTGTGAGCGTCAAGTTTACCAGTTGCCAGTGCCAGGTGTCGAAGACCTCAAATGGTAGTAACCGGTTTGACATTTGGAGTGGTATCGCACGCTGGCAGTGATTGGTTGCTTCTTCTCGTGTGCGACCGTCGCACAATTTGTTGTGGTTGCCACGAACTGCGAGCCGCGGGCGGTTCGAGCACAATGTTGATGGCATGCGGTTTTCCCGCATGCCACCAACAGTGCCTGCTACAGTGGCCCTGCCACCACCCAGGGATACGCCCTGAGCAGCATTTTCCGTTTTTGGCGAAGTCCCTTGAAATGACGTCATCAGGTTTGAATGACGTCACCTGGAACCATCGGCGAATCCTTCTTCACTTTCCTTTGCCTTCCCCCCGCCATATGGTCGCCACCAGTGAGAGCGAGACAGACCAGAGCGTGGAAAGGGAAGGGGCTGGAGTTCACCGACCCGGCCGAGCATTGCCGTTTAGTCCACATGTGTTTGCCGTCGGATCACAGAGCAATCGACGGCGCATAGGACCATGCATGTCCAGCATTAAACCGGTTTAGGGTGGTAGTGGTTCCGCACACACGCGCTATGGGTTGCTGTCAGCATACGCGAATGGACTTGGATGGCCTCTTTAGAACCAACTGCCACGTCACAGATCCGAGTCCAGGCTGTCGTGATGTGATTGGAGTTATGTCATGTGCGCAAGGTACGCATTTGCGAATTTACCATGCATACATGGTGGTGTAGAGCCATGTCCCGCCCTTTCCCCCCATCTGCAGCATGCTGAAGCGCATGCGGCGAACCTGGGAAAAAAAAAAAAACAGCGACCTGGATCCGTGAATGGGCTTCATATAAATGTCGTCACTCCACTTTGACGACCCGGACCCACTTTGTCTGTCACTTTGACGTGACAGATTCTTAGAATTCCGTTCGAGCGATTTCTCCCGTCGAGTTTGATCAACCATGGCGGTTAACACCGTTCTTATCACTAGAGCTAGTGGTTTGGTTGGCAAGGCGACATTGAAGGTAGGAGAGCTTGTTGTCGTCATCTTTAGTTACCTTATTCGCCATCACCTCTGTTACCTCACTGTGAGGGACCTCAAAATCGCCTCATTATGAGGGACCTCAAAATCGTCTCCTTTTGAGGTGCCTAAAAAATCAAGGTAGGAGAGCTTCTTGTCGTCATCCTTTGTTACCCCATTCAACGACATTCAAGGTAGGAGAGCTTCTCGTCATCCTTAGTTTCCCCATTCAAAGAGACACTTGAATTCCCTTCACGGTTTGTGAGGCGTTCACACTGACCCGCATTCCTCTCGTGTTCTGCATGCGTGCTGGGGAACGATTGCTTGATTTTTCTTCCCTTCAGGCTCTCGGACAGTCACCTGAACGCTTCACCGTGAAAGCAGGCGTTCGAAACCCCTCCAAATCCGCTGATCTCGCTGCGATCGCGCCGAACGTCTCAGTAGTCGCTGCGGACCCGCTGAAAGCAGCGGAAATCGCGGCAGCGCTTCAGGGGGTGGATTACGTGTTCGTGATCGCTCCGAGCCATCCTGACTGCCAGAAGATTGCCATTGCCGCCATTGACGCTGCCAAGGCTGCAGGCGCGAAGGTGAGCTGATAGTGGCGCTGATTGTGTTATCATTCAGTTGCTCCGAGCCATGCTGTCCACCAGAAGATTGCCATTGCCGCCATTGACGCGGCGAAGGCTGCAGGCGCGAAGGTGAGCTGCTCGTTACTGACACAACACCGTCAAGGTGAGCTGCTCGTTACTGTCACAACACCGTCAAGGTGAGCTGCTCGTTACTGTCACAACACCGTCAAGGTGAGCTGCTCGTTACTGTCACAACACCGTCAAGGTGAAGGTGACGCACTCGCGTTGCGGCTGTTTGATTTCTTCAAGAGACACCACTCGGTGTTCTACATCCGATACTCACCTTTTCCCGCCCATCATCCCCCCCTCGTCCGGTTTCGTCCATGCGTTCCTTACTTTCCCCACCACTCCATCGTTTCGTTATACGTCGCAGTTCATCCTTCTCCTCTCAGTAGCCACTGCCGAACTGCCCGACTTCTCTCGGGAATTCCGGCCTGTGGAGGCACACGTGGAGGCGTCTAGCGTGCCGTACACCATCATTCGTCTGCCATCCTTTATGGAGAATAACTACGATTTCGCAAAGCCGATTAAAGAGTGTAAAGCATTTTATTCGTCATACGAGCCGGACAAGCCGTTCAGCCAGATTTCTGTGGACGGTACGTGGTGCCATTGACAATGTGAGTGCAGCAATGCCAATTCTGATGCAAAACGTGACTTCTGGTGCAAGAATGTGCATTATGGTGCAGAAATTTGCATTTGCAATTTGTATGCATGTGACCACGCATCCAGTTGTGTGGGATTTACCACCAACACCCTTCTGTACCATGCCTGCGTTTGGCAAATGTTGGGGAGGCTGCAGAAAAGATCTTAGCTGATCCTGAGGCTCATAAGGGCAAGACCTACACCCTGACTGGGCCCTTCTCGACTGCTACTGATATTGCGAAGGAATTTTCCGGTGCTCTTGGCAAAAAAAGCTCCTACGAATTTGTAAGTCCTTCTCCAGTAGCAAGCTTGTTGTGGCTACTCTGTTTTATAGATTGGTACCGTAGGTTTTTATCAACTCATCCATTATCATCCCCTACCATGACTTTGTCAGAATAGTAGCTTAGCTAGAGTAGCTTAGGAACATCCTTATAAGCCATAGCTTAAGGGTTTAGAGCAAGGCAAGGATGTGACGAGAGAGTTTGGCCAAAAGAGGGTTTGACTAAGAAAGTTCAGTACAAGATATAGCAAGGAGAAGCATGGTGCACCACCTACAACAAATGAAATATGTCAAACTATATGTCAGTGTTCTCTCTAGGCTATAGTGGGTTAGCCTACAAGGGCACAATACTTGAGGGTTAGTACTTGTGCCCAACTCATTCATAGTTCTTTCATTCCTGCACAGTTATTATGACATGGTATTCAGAGCAAGAAACTTGTTAAGTTTTTAGGGCCCACCAATAGTTCCGCTTGTTCCTGCCCGTAGCGCCCTTGCGTTGTCCGGACCTTCTCGCACAGTGTCGCGATGCCTTGCAGCTACTCACACTGCCTGCCCCCCGCACGTCGCGCCCTGCTGCAGCCTGCGAGTCGCGCCCTGCTGCCCTGCCCAGCGCGTGCCGCCCTGCCCTGCAGGCCGCGCCCAGCTGCCCTGCAGCACGTGCATCGTGCTGCCTTGCCCTTGGGCCCGTGCGCCGCCCTGCCCTGCAGCTCGCGAGCCGCACTGCCCTGCCCTGCAGCCCAGCGCATCGCGCCCTGCTGCCCTGCCCAGCGCGCGCCCCACTGTTCTGCGCGTCGCGCCCTGCTGCAGCCCGCGCGTCGCGCCCGCCTGCCCCGCGCGTCGCGCCCAGCTGCAGCCCGCGCGTCGCGCTCTGCTGCTCCGCGCGTCACGTCCTGCTGCCCTGCACTTCGCGCCCTGCTGCAGCCCGCGCGTCGTGCCCTACTGCAGCCCGCGCGTCGCGCTCTGCTGCCCCGCGCGTCGCGCCCTGCTGCCCTGTCCACCGCGCGCCCTGCCCTGCAGCCGGCGGCGCGCCCTGCCTTGCCCAGCCGTGCCGCCCAGCCCGGCCGAGCCACGCCGCCCTGCCCGAGCCGCCCTACCCAACCCGAGCCGCGCCGCCCTACCTCGATCACCAGCCTCACCGAGCCGCCCTGCTGCTACTACTGCTGCTGCTGCTGCTGCTGCTCGTGCTACTGCTGCTGGTGGAGGTGCTGCTGGGAATGCTGGGAGTGCTGCTGGTGCTGGAGGTGCTGGAGGTGCGACTGGGAGTGCTGGAGGTGCTGCTGGTGCTCGAGGTGCTGGAGGTGCGACTGGGATTATTGAAGGTGCTGCTGGTGCTGGAGGTGCTGGACCTACTACTGACCGTCACTGCCTGTCATGGCCACTATCACGGCAGTTGCAGCGGCTAGGGGTGGACAGCGGCGGTCATTGCCTCTCCCTAACGACCCCACCTCTCAGCAGCTTCGCGAGTGGGTTCTTCAGCGAGCCCGTCCAGGTGGTGAAGGCTTTGTTTTTTTGCGTACTGCACAGAGGCGGCAGCAGAGTCAGCAGGAGACCTTCTCCCCGCAGGTGCTTAGTGAGTTGGTTCCTCAGCGATGTGTCACTGGTTCTGTCGAGGCTGCTGCACTAGGTGCTAGTGAGTCTGCTGCCACACTAGGTGCTAGTGAGTCTGCTGCCGCACTAGGTGCTAGTGAGTTTGCTGACGCACTAGGTGCTAGTGAGTCTGCAACCGCTCCAGATGCTAGTGAGTCTGCATCTTCAGGTGCTTGTGCGTCTCCCGCCACAAGTCCTTCCTCAGCTGAGGCCTTGCAGACTTTCACACTTGACTCAGGCGCGTCACGTTGCTTTTTTAGTGACTGCACCACACTCACTCCACTTGCTGCACCGGTACCAGACTCACTGGCTGACCCCACTAGGGGCCCAGTAGTCGCGCGAGCCTCCACTGTCCTCCCGTGTCCAGCAGTCCCCTCCGGTTCTTTGTCAGGTCTCCACCTCCCCACGTTCTCAACGAACTTTGTGAGCAACGCTGCCATTCAGGATGTATGGGTTGATACCTTTATTCCTGGAGGGCAGCATGTGGCGATCTGTACGTGCTCCCAGACTGGCCGTCACCTGGCTACGTTCACTCGACGGCCTGGGTCTAGTCTATACACACTGACCACTGCGTCTGCACAGGTGGCTGAGGCAGGTCAGGTGGCTGCGTCGAGTCAGGTGTCTGCGGCTGGTCAGCTTGCAGTGTCTTGCTCGTGTCGGGTACTCTC